GCTCCTGCAGGCCGCCTTGCCCTTCTGCGCGTTTCCGGGCGCGGGAGCTGCTCCTGCAGCGCCCGCAAAGAGGAGGCCCTTCCGGCCCCAGGGCTGCGGGCAGGAGCTTTGTAAACACCCGGCCAGGGCGTTAGGAAGCTCGGAACTGGGCCTGCGAGGCACCTTGGGGGTCGTCACACGCTGGTCCCCTGCGTTTTCGGGCGGGGTCTCGACTGGTGGTTGACGGCTCACTGGGGGAATTGGGCATAGAAAAATATCCATTTTCAGGCTCCTGGGTCAAAATTTAAAGTGACACCAAACCCCCCAGTAATCTAATTAGAATTATACAATTAAGTTAAGTAGTACAATTTTGAAAATTAAGTTCAGCACAGAGGCCCACGCCTGTAACCCCAACTACTCAGGATGCAGAGGCTGGAGGCTGGCAAGTTCGTAGCCAGTCTAGACGACTTAGCAAGATCCCTCTCAGAAGGAGAGGTGGTAAGCTCAGTGATAGAACACTTAGGAGTTCAATCCGCCGTACCGAAAAAAGAAATTAATGCAAAAATTCACATAATTTGTTATTGAACAAAATATCAGTGTCAGATTTTGTTTTGTTTTGTTGTTTTTTGAGACAGCAGGATCTTGCTCTGTGCTTAAAGCTGGCCTTGAACTGCCTAGGCTGACCTCCTACTCAGGGTGGTTCTCCTGCCTCAGCCTCCCCAGTGCTGGGATTACAGGCATAGCCTCTATGCCTGGCAGACTTAAATATTGACAGTATCTGACTGCAGGATCCCGGCTCATCTCACTCTAATCCAATAATAAAAGCTCCAGTTCCAATAAAACTACAAAAGCAGGTGGCTAATCTTATGAGGCATAGTTTACCATTTTGGTTTTTAAAAATATATTGCGTTAAGATTTATTTATCTTGATTAATATATTTTTTGAGGCCTCTCTGCCTCACCCGATTCCTGGCCCTGCACTTTAACATTGCTAGTACTCCTGCAAATTGCCTGGAACAGATTCATTATTAAGGACATCAGCATGTTAAGCTGGTATTAGCTGTGTGGTTACCTCAACAAAATAAACAAAACCAATAATGTGACTGCTTTGAGTTGTTGGAAGGTCATCAGCACATACTATACATGGTAATCTTCGGTGATTCCTTGCCATATTATCTTTAGTTATTATTTTAATAGTTGTGCCAGGCATTCAAATTGGTTTGGTTTTTGAGAAATCATTAGGTGAAACTTGTGTCCTGTTATGTTACAGATGTTAGTATTTTCCCCCTTCTTTTGTTTTGTTTTTTTTGGTTTTTCTCCGGTACCGGGAACCAAACTCACGACCTTGCGCTTGCCAGGCAGGTGCTTTTGCCGCTGAGCTAAATCCCCAGCCCCCTTTTCCCCCTTATTAATAAATTGAAGCCACGCATGGTGGCACATGCCTGTAATCCCAGCCCTTGGAAGGTGAGGCTAAGGCAGGAGGATCATTGCCAGCCTACATTGCATAGTGGGACCCTGTCTCAAAAAGACCGCCCCCCCAAAAAAAATTTGATTCAAATCCCTGTAGGGGAAATAGGAGACCAGGCATGTAGGGTCAGGTTGGTCACTTATGTACTGATCAAATCATCTAACTCTCTTCTTAGATTTTTTGTGACTTTTTAAACCATTTTCATGAGAGATTTCCAAATATGTATAAATGTAGAAAGCTTGGTATAATGAACCCATCACTTAACTTTGTTACTAAATCCTGGCCAATCTTGGTTTCCATTTCTTTCCCTCTTCACTGGATTATTTGCAAGAAAATCTCAGACATTAAGCTATTTCATTCACAAATATTTCAATGTGTGTGTTCCTAAAAGATAAAGTCATCCATAAAAATAACCACAATATTATTACCACACCTAAAAAGCATCTAGTCAGTGTTCAGATTTTTTTGACTCACGTTTTCATTTTTGTTTGAATCAGTATTCAAAGTCCTAAATATTGCGATTGTTGACATATGTATATGTGTGTGTATCTATTTTATTTTATTTTTTGTGGAATTGAGGATTGAACTTAGGGAACACTGAGCTACATCCCCAGCCCTTTTTATTTAAGACGGGTTTATTTTTATTTTTATTTTTTCAGACAGGGTTTCACTGTGTAGTTCAGGCTGGCCTTGAACTTGTGGTGATCTTCATGCCTCAGCCTCCTAAATGCTGAGATTACAGGCTTGCGCCACCACACCTACCTAACAAAGACAGGGTTTTGCTAAATTGCCCAAACTGGCAGAAAATGCAGTCCTCCTGCCTCAGCCTTATGAATAGCTAGAATTATAGTTGTGTGCCACCTTGCCCATTTTAAACCTTTAATCTATAGGTTCCCACTCCTTTTTCTACCTTGTAAATTTTTTTTTTTTGGTCTTTTTGAGACAGGGTCTTGCTATGCAGTTTAGGCTGGCCTTGAGCTCACTTTGTAGCCTAGGCTGGCCTCGAACTTGCAACAATCCTCCTGCCTCAGCCTCCCAAGCGCTGGGATTATAGGCATGCACCACCATGCCCGGTACCTTGTAATTTATTTTTAAAGACACCGTCTATATTGTCCTGTAGAGTTTCCCACACCTAGGTTGTATCTCTACAATTATCTGACATGTTCCTTTGTTCCCTGTATTTTGTAAAAATGGCTGGTTATGTCTAGAGATTTAGATTTGATTGTTCTGACAAGAATGTTTTCTAGGTAGTGCTGGGTACTTCTGTTAGGCTATAATAGTGTCTGGTTGTTTCTCTTCTGGTAATGTCAGCCACAATTAATAATCATTGCCTAGGTCTGTTATTTTCAATGGTTGCCAAAATTGTGAAGTCTAATTCTGTCATTTTTTCATTAAGTAGGATATTTCTCTGAAGGAACAGTTCCCATCACCAGTTATTTGGGCATACTAAGGAATAGGTCATACAGAGAAAGCATAATGAATGTTTGATTCTTTTTATTTATTTACCATTACTTAAAGAATTGATTCTTGGAAATGAATCTAGATTAATTTCATTATTCTCTTGGTACATTAAATTAAGAGATACCTGCTTACCTGTGCTTATTGCAGCAATGGCTAAGATATTGAATAAGCCTAGGTTTCTGTCAAGATATGAATGGCTAGAGAAACTTGGGTGTATATACCAAATTGAATATATTTAGTCAAAGAAGAATAAAATCCTGTCATTTGCATTAAAATGGGTAAAACTGGAGCATATTGTGTTAAGCAAAATAAGTCAAACACAGAAAGACAAATATTGCTTATTCTTATAGATAAAAACTTAGAAAAAAAGAGATGAATTGAAAGTAAATGATTACTAGGGCCTAGGAAGGAGAGAGCAAAAGTAGAAGAGTGGATGTATGTGATGTATGTATGTATATGAAAATCTCATGGTGAATCCCCTTAATTTGTACAATTATAGTGGTATAATGAGTATAATTAAAAAATTGGTTCTATTAGCATCCCTCAAATTGGTAGCATTTTTGTGTTCAGTAACTCTAAATGTCATCACTGCATCAAGCGATTGTACTGATTCTTCGTTCAGCTTGACGACCCCCTGATGATTTGTGGAGCAGTATGTACTTGGAGCTCTGTGTCTCATCCTGGTTAATACAAAGTTGATTCTTATTTTCTAGATTCACCTAGAAATCAGTGATCTAAAACTCATTTCACAAGAAAAAATGGACAGTCCTTCAGACAGTGGACAAGGCAGCTTTGAAACAATTGAGCCCTTGAGTGAAAGAGGTTTGTAATATTCAGGACTTTAATTTTAAGGACTGGAATTTGGGAGCCTGGGTTGTAAATGGGTTGGATTAGTTCCTTTATTCTCTTGGTATATTAAATTGTTAATGCCCCAACTTTATTAGTTCTTTTGTTATAAAAGCAAAATAGCAACATTTATACCTTTTTAAAAATATCCATTTCTCTTATATTCTTGAACATATAAAATGCTTAATAGCTACTACATTGCCTGGCTAAATGCATTCATCTTATGATCAAAGGATTTTTTAACACCTGCCAGAAGCATTAGAACAACTTTACACATTATAAATATATATAATTACACTTCTCAGCAAGAAACATTTTTTCAGGGAAAATGTTTTTCACAATATATTTTTAGATATACTTTGCTACAGTCAGTTCTTAATGGTAGTTACATAATTTCTCAAGGTGATATACCACTTGTATAATGTAGTATATTTTTGAGAATTAATAGAACCAGGCAAAGAGCTAAACAGTTGTACGCCTTCTTAAAAAATTGTTTTGTCCAGATTCAGATGAAGAGATATTCGTGAGTAAGAAGCTCAAGAGCAGGAAGGTGATACAGTACAGTGATTCTGAAACAGAGGACACAAATGCCGCTCTGGAGAAAACTACCTATGACAGCACTGAGGAAGAGAAAGAGAACCTCTATGCTGGAAAAAATGGAAAAATCAAAAGGATTTATAAAACTCTGGATGACAGTGAGGACAGTAATGTGGAAGAATCTTTGTATCAAGAAAATCCTAAAACTCCAGTGACACCTTGCTTAGAGCTGAGTCTCCAATCTGGAAACTCTGTGGACTTTACCACTGACAGAAAGACTTCTCAAAAATCTGATAAACATGATAAAGAAGGAACTGGAGGAAAAGCAAAAGTAAAATCAAAGAGAAGACTTGAGAAAGAGGAGAGAAAGATGGAAAAAATTAGGCAGTTAAGAAAAAAAACAAAAAAGGAGGTACGTTATATTTCTTAACTATGTCATGCAGTCTTTATTCATATTATATAAATTGTGTATGTGTGTGGAGGGCTATCAGAGATTGAACCTAGGAATCCTGAGCTACATCCCTATCCATTTTTATTTTGAGACAAGATCTTGCTAAGTTGTGCAGCCTAGCCTTGAATTTGGTGATTCTCTGGCCCCAACATTTACAATAGCTGGATTATAGGTATATATCACCATGCCTGGTTTATGTTTCCATTTTTAATTGATACATAGAAGCTACGGGGTATAATATGATATTTCAGTCATGTATACAATGTATGATCAGATCAGGGCAGTTGGCAAAACTATTCCCTTTGACTTTTTTTGTTTCTACTGGCACTGTGCAGTACTCAAGATTTTTTTTTTTTGTCTTTTTCACATAAAGTTTCACTGTGCAATTCAGATAGTGTACTATCCTCTACTTCTGTGAGATCAACTTTTTAACTTCTACATGTAAGTGTCTCTCTGGGCCTGGCTTATTTCACTTAACACGATGTCCTTTAGTTCCATCCAAGTTACTACAAATGACAGAATTTCATTATTTTTTATGGCTGAATAATATGCCTTTATATATATCTCACATTTTCTTTATTTATTCAATGAAGTACTTTTTTTTGTAGTTTTGGGGATCTGAGCCAGGGCCATCTCATGCATACTAGGCAAATGCTGTGCAACTGAGCTATGCCCCCAGCATGAGGTACATTTTAAAGAATAATTTTCTTTTCCTTATGTAGGTTAACCTTTTAGAAAAAGTGGCTTTTAGTGGTTGGCTTTTAGCTATATTCTGCACTCAGAATATAGCTTTGAATTGATGGCTTTGTGTAGAGAATAATAGGGCATGTGATTTAAAATTTACTGGTTGGGGCCAGGAATATAGCTCAGGTGGCACAGGTGCCTGCCTGGCAAGCACAAGGTCCTGAGTTTGATTCTCAGTACCAAAAAAAAAAAAAAAAAAGAAATTACAACTTACTGGTTGTAGCTTGGTGTGGTGGTGCATGCCTGTAACTCCCGCACTGGGGAGGCTGTGGCAGGAGGATCACTGCAAGTTTGAGGCTGGCCTGGGCTCCATTGTGAATTCAAGATCAGCCTGAATGACATAGTGAGACCCTGTCTCAAAAAAATAAAAACTTACTGGTCATATTCACTGTGGCGGATATCCAGAAATGCTTCCAAATAAATGGGTTTCTGATTTTCTTTGCGACTGTGTGGAGTAATTCTTTGCTGCTCCTGATCTGATGAAAATTAACTCTGAAATGTATTCTTTTTAATGTGCCAAGTTTGTTTGTTAACTAGAAACATCATCCTCAAGTTTTTTTTTTCATCCTCAAGTTTTATCAACTAGTTGCTCAGTAAGTGGTTGACTTTTCAAAAACCTTTACTGTTTACTAAGTTAATTTTGGATAGCTATATAAAAATCCCGGCTTGAATTTCAAATGATAATGGTGGTTTAAGAACCAGTAAGACTGTTGTAGGTGCCATGTTTGTTTTTTTGATGGAAGTTAGGCTTTTTCTGGCTTGTTCCAGATTGCTGTGTAATATTGTGAGATGTTGGATGTTAGCATGATTGGATTATACCTTTTCTTTTTTTTTTTTTTTTTTTGTTTTTCTCCGGTACCGGGAACCGAACTCACGACCTTGCGCTTGCCAGGCAGGCGCTTTTGCCGCTGAGCTAAATCCCCAGCCCCCGGATTATACCTTTTCTTTATGCTTTGTCCAGGAAAATGCTGTGGAACAGCCATTGAATGACAGCGGCTGTCTTCTTGCAGACAAAGACCTTTTTGAAACGGGTTTGGAGGAGGACAGTAACTCTCCATCGGAAGATGAAGAATCATTAGAATCAATAAGGGCCGCTGTGAAGAACAAAGTAAAAAATCACAAGGTAAGTGAAGCATGGTTATAAGTTAGCCAAACATTCTGATGTTTATTTTTTATTTCAAAAGTGTTTATTATAACCTTTTTTCTTTATTCTGTTTTTTAGTACTAGGGAGTGAACTCAGGGCCTCATACATGCTAGGCAAGCCCTCTGAGCTATATCCTCAGCCTTTCCTATTTTTGAGACAGGGTCTCACTGAGCTGTATCCCGGCCTTTTTTATTTTTGAGACAGAATCTCACTGAGTTGTCCAGCCTGGTTTCAAATTTGCAGTCCTCTTGTCTCAGCCTCCTGAGTAGCAGGGATTAGAGCAACTTTAATTTTATTTAGTGAAGAAAAACATGTGTTGATTGATTTTTCAGTTGTTAATTTTGGAAACTTGCAGGACAGGTGATAGACATGCTAATTTGCTTGGAAATTGGTACGTACTTTGTTAAAGCCTTTTTAGAAATCCTGGTGGGTGGTGAGGTATACTATACTTTATGTTGTGGTAAGAATCAAGTAAATAATGGGGCAGAGTTGTAAATTTTATAATCATGTGGCCTCTGAAAAATCAACTGTACAGGGTTTCAGGAAGGGTGTTAAAGAGAGGCAAGGGCTGGAGGTGTAACTGATAGAGAGGCATGATTAAAACATTGCTGTCTTGATTGTTTGAAAGCATGAAGAGCTAGGGGTGTAGCTCAGTGGTGGAGTGCTTGCCTAGCATGTGTGAGGCCCTGAATTTGACCCCAGTATTACTCCACTACCACCCCCAAAAAAGAGGGTAACTTTTTCCTAGGATTTTCTTTTACTGCCTGGAAGTTGTTTCTGCTTCTTAGGAAAATATATAAATAGAGCTAAAAAATACCAAGAGTCCAAATTCCATTTGAGATACCTTGTTTTCTTTCTTTCTTTCTTCCTTTTTTTTTTTTCTTCTTGCAGTACTGGGGATAGAACTTAGGGCCTCACACAAATTAGGCAAGCACTCTTATCACTGAGCTGCATTGTATATCCTTTTTAAATTTTATTTTGAGACAGGGTCTCATTAAGCTGCCTGGTTGGGCTTGAGCTTTCAATCTTCCTTTCTTAGCAGCCCGCTCCCGCCCCAGCTAGTATTATAGGTGTGAGCCACTACATTCCGCTTAAAATTTTCTTTCTTTTTTTTTTTTTTTTTTTTTTTTTTGTTTTGGTTTTTTTTTTGGTCTTTTTGAGACAGGATCTCGCTGTGCAGTTCAGGCTGGCCTTGAGCTTACTTTGTAGCCCAGGCTGGTCTCGAACTTGCAAGAATCCTCCTGCCTCAGCCTCCTGAGTGCTGGGATTACAGGCATGCGCCACCACTCCTGGCAACATTGAGATTTCATCTTTTTTTTGTTTGTTTGTTTTTGGTTTTGGTACCAGGAATCAAACTCAGGACCTTGGGCTTGCCAGGCAGGCGCTTATGCCACTGAGCTATATCCCCAACTCTTGACTGTCAATATGAATATCTAATTTTGAGAGGTTTTTTTTTTTTTTTTTGGTACTGGGAATTGAACTCATGACCTCAGGCTTGCCAGGCAAGCGTTTATGCCACTGAGCTGTATCCCTGACCAGCTTAAAATTTTCTATTTGACTTTTTTTTTTTTTTTTTTTTTGTTACTGGGAATCGAACTCACGGCCTCAGGCTTGCCAGGCAAGCACTTATGCCACTGAGCTATATCCCTGGCCCAGATTTTCTATTTGATAATCATTGATTTATTAGTAATGTAGCATGATGTAGTAAGAAACATCCTTTTTAAAGTTTGTTTGTTTGTTTGTTGTTTTCCAGTACCAGGAATCAAACTCACAACCTTCCCCTTGCCAGGCAACCCCTTAAAGTTTTTGTCCTTATAATCAACTTGCAATATTTTTCAGAAAAAGGAATCAGCTTTGGAGAGTGAGGCCTTTTCATTTGAAGAAGAGAGTGAGTTACCAAAAGGCACCATGAAAAAGGTAAGGTAGATCCATGAGTGGTGGTCACATCGATAGCTTCCCGTGGGAGATTGTGGGTTCTCAGGGATAAGTATTGTATCTTGCCTAGCCTATTTTCATGGTATCTGATGTTTGCTTTATGCATAGTAGGAGCATGAATATGAATTGATTTTCTGAGGCTTGTAAATAAATGTGTTCCTTGCATTTATACTGTACTGAAGTTTATTAGTGCTGGTGGTTCATTCTCTTTTCTTGGCAAGAACAAGGTATTAAGGGATGAATATCCAACTTTCTGGATAATACCACTAATGTCTCACATCTTGTTTTCTTGTTTTCTTTAAGGAAAGAAAGGCAGCCAAGTTAAGTAAGGAAGCATTAAAAAAACTGCATAGCGAGACTCAGCGCCTTATACGAGGTAATTCAAATCAATATGGTGAACTTTGAGGAAAGTCACAGTGTTTTCTTGTAAGAGCAGCTTGGGTATTGGGTTTTTTTTTAACACTTCTAATTCTAATATTAACCTTGTGCTTGATCTTGGTGGGTGCCCATCGTTCCCTGGGACGTTAGGAAGATCTGAGAAAATTTCCAGGGCTGTAGTGGAGGAGGAAACTTTTTAATGGTTGTCCATGGACTGATTGCATCAAGACCCTTTTGGGAGGTTTCGCTTTGTTGAAACAAGGTCTCGCTATGTTGCCCAGACTAGTCTCAAACTATTGAGCGCAGGCAGTCCTCCTGCCTCAGCTTTTGAAGTAGCTGGAACTACCGGCATATGCCATGATGCCCAGCTTAGGAGATTTTTAAATACATAACATTTTAGGCTCCACAAAGATTCTGATTCAGTAAATTTGAAATGGAATCCAAGAATCTATGTTTCCTAAAACTTCCCGGATTATTTCGATTACACAGTTAGGCTTAAAATCTCCTGCTCTTCAGGGAAATCTTTTGTACTTAGATCCTGTCTTGTTCAAGGCAGAATTATTTTCTATTTCTGGTGATAGCTTTGGTGATACTGTTTTGTTAACTGTAAAGTAATATTTCAGAATATACAGTACGTCTGTTTGCTTTTTTTGTTCCATTTTTAGAGTCTGCACTTAATCTTCCATATCATATGCCTGAGAATAAAACCATTCATGATTTCTTCAAACGTAAGCCCCGGCCCACTTGTCAGGGAAATGCCATGGCACTACTGAAGTAAGAACCTTTTTTCCTTGTGATTATAATTGTCATGAACATTCAGTTTGTAGCTAAATGGGCTACAAAAAGTCCAGATTCCTTATTCCCTTAGAACCGATGTAATTGACTTATTATTTGCTCACATTTAGGATAATTTTAAATTCTTGCTCATTTTTCTTTCTCTAGGTCATCTAAGTATCAGTCAAGTCATCAGAAAGAAATCATAGACACTACAAAGACAACCGAAATGAATGGTGACCACTGTAACAAAGGTTCTGAGCAGACAGGATGTGAAATGGAAATTAACGAACACCTTATGGTCTCAGAGGAACCTCAGATTGCTACTGGATCCGATGAGACTTGCACTACAGTTCTAGTGAGAAGTGAAGAACTAGATATTCAGGAGAAACGGAAACAGAACAATCCTAGACCTTCACCTGAGGATAGCTCAGTATTACAAGAGGAATCTGGCTTCCTCAGGAACACAGCCAGTGAGGAGTATCAGATTGGAGGCCTTGTGGCCTCTGAACCGCATGCCCGGGAGGGAGAAGAAAGTCTGCATAAAACAGAAGAAACAGAGGAGAAATTGGAAGAACCCACGCAGCAGACTAAATCATCAGCCGTTGTAGTACCTGAAAAAGTGAGAAGGTTCACTGTGGATAGACTGAAGCAACTGGGAGTGGATGTTTCCATTAAACCCCGGCTGGGTGCTGATACAGATTCCTTTGTGATACTTGATGAGCCTGAAACCAACAGAGGTAGACCTTTAAGTTGTGTTCAGTAATTTATCTGGGGTGATTTATCCTGGCACCTTTAATTATTTTGTCTTTCATTATTTTGTACGTGTGGAGGATCAGGAACATAGGAGAAACCATAACTACACGTACTCTTGTTCTAGAGCTGTACTAGATATGGGGAAAATTCCATTTAGATAAATTTGGCAGGATATAAGAATGATCTAACCTTATGGAAACCAATTGATAGTTAATATGCAAACAAGATACATTGCTATTGTGTTATTGTTATGGTATCTGGGAATTTATTTCTTCTTTGGCAAACTGAAAGCCCAAGTTTTCCTGTCTGAGTCTGTGTCAAATCTTCTTAAGTCATTCATAAAAACATTCTGATTTTCATAGCTAAACAGAAACATTTTGATTCACTTAAACTGTCTGCAAAACAGAATTTCTTAAACTATCTACCACATGCAAGATCCTGTAGGGCATACCAAGATAAATTAGACATTTATCCTACATTTAAGATGCTTACTCTAGTATTTATATAAGAACTGTGCACATAACTGTAATGCAAGGGAGGAAGTGGTGGCATCTTCGTTAATAAACCCACAAGTTGTCCCTCAGAACCTGTAAGGGAATAATTGATTCCAGGACTCCTCACCTACTCCAGGCTACCAGAAATTCATAAATGCTCAGATGCCTTTGTTTGTTTGGTTTTTTTTTTTGGTTTTTCTCCGGTACCGGGAACCGAACTCACGACCTTGAGCTTGCCAGGCAAGCTCTTTTGCCGCTGAGCTAAATCCCCAGCCCCCAGATGCCTTTAATAAAACGACATAGCACTTGCATAAAATCTATACTCTACTTATAATACTATGTAAATATTATGTAAATAGTTGGGTTTTTTTTTTTTTTTAACCTAACACATAGGGCTCTTACCTCACCCAGCAACAACGTTGCAAAACTTAAAGAAAGACTTTTCTTTCCAGGAAGAGGTTCCTGCTAGCTTTAAGGCTCTAACTTCAGTCTGTACAGTAATTCTATTTCAAGCTCCTCGTGAGCACCTGGGCTAAAATGTCAGCGTGAGGGGCTGCA